ATCTGTCAAATTTTGGTTATCCAAGTAGAATAATTGGAGAGAATTGTTTTGTGAGCTTGGTTTGGTTACTGACAGTCATATGCCCTGCATGTTAAAGCTAACCTATAAATAGGTGTCAGAAACCTGTGAGAAGAAGCTCAAACTAAACTGTCAATGTACCTTGAGAGTCATAGAATTAAGTCTTTCAGCAAGATTTTAACTGTTTGGGAATCAAGTTAATGAGACCTCTTCGGTGTCCCTCTTTGTTAACTTTCTTTGCAGGAAAAGGAGCTATCAGTGTGAAAACTGTGTTTAAGTAGTATGCCTCTTTTCGTTAGATGTTTAGAATCCTGACAAGGAGATATGGCAGGGGGTTTTCTATTCAAGAGGAAGAGGAAGGAAATGGGGAAAGAGGTGAATTGCATAAGCCAAGCAATGTATAGGAAACAAGTGACATCCTCTTAAAGCCTAGGATTTGCATTTGTTTTGAGGTATAGGTGGTGAGTTTATTCTTTTTAGCACTATCACTTTATCCATGTAAAGCATACAAAATCTACAGAAAAATAAAAATATTAATACTCAGTAGCATTTCCAGGAGTAACTGCTTCAAGAATTAATACCTTGTTTTGTGCAGTGTACTGTAATGCAATTAGCTTTTGTATCATGGCTTGCTGCTTTTTAAAATGCACATGGCAGTTCTTTCACTGTGCTTCAGAGAACCATTGCCAACCACTGGTAACTTCTTGCATGCCTGACTTAAATGGAAGCATCCTGCACATAGGACCTCTCTTAGCCCCAGATTTTCAAGAGCTGAAGACCTTCTCTCCTTCTGTGATTGTAGGAACATGTATGCCCTAACACTGTTCGGTGTCTGCAACCTGAAATCATAAGGTCTGTGAGTTAAACCTCAGTCTTTGTGGTGTAAACGTCCTGAAACTGCAAAAATAGTAGTGTGAGGATGCTTTTTTGCATTGTAGATGTAGCAGCATAGTTTTGCAGACCATCAGCACATAGGCTTTCTAGTGTGTAATGTGTTTTCTTGACTTGAAACTGACATCCAGCCTAGCAGTGCTTGTTTATAACAATGAGGAAAAAAATGTGCTTAGTTTAGTTTGGCTCAAGCAGAGGTACGAAAAAGGAAGAGGAGAAACATCTGCAACTGTTACAGCATGTTTGCATTTAAATAAAACCAGATAGGAGCAAGGAACAGGCGGCTTTCTTCTTTAAATAAAAGGAAAAAAACTCACAAACAGTCAATAAACCAAATTTTAAGGGACAACTGTGTGTTTTTTTCAAGATACATTAACAGAAGAGAACACTGAAAGGAATGAAAATAGCCATTTCAGATTATAGAAATGATTGTGCTGAGGTTTTGTTTTTTCCCCTCTTTGAGTAAGACTCTGCCAAGCTGCTAGGAAAGTCAAAAGCTGTTGTTTATGGCTCTCTGTTGGGAACGAGGTTAATTAGTATATGCTGTGCAGAAATATGCTGCAGACCCAATCGCCCGCAGTTAGAAGACGCTATTGTTGCAGTGCTGCTGAAGTGATTGATGTGGGTGCTGCCTTAGGAACGGTGGCAAGTCAAGTTTAAAAATCCAAGGCTCCGCCTGTGCCCTTTCCCCTACTTTGCTGGCGAGCACGTGGCAGCGCAGGAATGCAGCGAGGGGAAGTGCACCGCGGCTTATGATTAAATTGGCCTTTAAGGAGGAAAACAAGTGTTCAAAGAAGCGGACTTCGGGAAGCCTTTGGTATTCCGCCATCATAATTCAGGGCGGTTTTAAAGGCTTATGGTTTTCTTGAGTAAAGGAAAAGAATATGAAAAGAAACAAGCCGTTTTATTGTTTCACGTCTTAATGTCAAGCAGCGCAGCCCTGGAACTGGACTGTATTTGTTTTCAGGGCTCACTTGCTTGATTCAAGATTAATTCTTGCTGGATTAATTTTTTTATTATTATTTTTTTTTTTTTTGTTTGGGAATAAGGAATATTTTCCTTAATGAAGCTTATTTATTTTTATGAGAATGCTAAATTTTAATTCATTAAAATGTCAGGTTGACTGTTAATGCTTGATGCTATTTATAATATTTTTCTGCCTTGGATAGTAAAAAAAGCATGTCCTTAAAAATCAAAGGGTGCTTGAAATTCTTTCCATTCAGAGACAAAGAGGAGGTTAATTACAAATTTCCAGGCTGAGAAGTCACAGGGGAGTTGAAGGGTAATGGAAACTAGCTGATCTTGTACTTAAGACACTGGCTTTGCAGAATACAAAATTCCGTGAGTGAACTGAGCAGAACCTGTTAGCCCTCCTTGAGACAAAACTAGGTGCCTGATTCTCTGTATGCAAATACGGTTGAGTTCTTGATGTGTGTTTTTTGGGGTTATACCATCCCAGTCTTAATAGTGCCACTAAACATATGATAAATTCTTCACTTTGAACTCTTTTGCAAACCCTGTTGAGTTCAGGTTATACCCTGTGTTACTGCTGCCTCTGCCTGTTTTATTGCTGTCTTGTCAGCTGGTGATGAACGACTTAAATGAATGAATGGACAGCTGACTTTGACTTCCTCATGCTTGTCTGCAGCAGAGCCCTTATAAGTAGTTGTTAGTGACAAGAGTCATTTAGTACTACAAATTGCAGTTGTTACTCAGCCACACAGGGCTTGTGCTAAAGCTTTTGAAACTGGTTTTCAAGCTGGTTTGCGTTCTTATTTGTTCTTTTTTGTTATTCTAATCAGACACTACACACACATAAATCAATTGCATATTATCTGTAGGATACTGTGAGCTTTAGGTGCCTTGATTCACCCAGTGAAACCTGAGCAGTGGCTGATGGATTTACGAGATCTATGAATTACCATTAGGAACTAGTAGTAGTTGTATTGCAGAGGTGGATCACTGTGGGCTGGTCCAGGAGCAGGCACATTAAATACTGCAAAGAATCCATGCCTGTTGGTCAGCAACCTTAATAGATGACGTACAGCAGCACTTACCTCATTCATCTCTGCTGAGTATTCCTTCTCTTTCTATATTGTGTATTTATTTCCTGAGCTGATTTCCAAGTGCCTGGCTGTCTACTCATAGACCTTGGCACCCATTCTTTGTGTTTCGGATGATTTTGATTAAGTAGAGTATTTACAGACTAGAGGAGCAGCGCTCTGGTCATAATAAACTGCTTTTGAAGTGCCCACCTAAATTGCACTGGTTAGTCCTTCCATGGTGTTCCACAGGGGATGGCAGTCTACCAGAATTGAATTACTAGCTTTGGGTTTGCAAACAAAATGTAAATTTTAGCTTTTAGGACTTAAAAAGAGTAAAGTAGTTGTATTTCTTTTTTAATTTTACTTACACAGAAATGCCAGTACAACCTTAAAACACTTGGTATTGATAATGTGTTTTGTACCAGTGAAAATTTCAATCTAAAACTTGCCCTTGAATCCTGACCTGCAGATGGGCTAATAAATTCCACTACCATTTAGTCATACTTCTAGGAGGATATTGTTTTTAAGGCTATGCATGAAAGTTTTGGTAAGCTAATAAATAAAGTTGGGCAAGTGACCGACTGGAATCATGATGGTCTCCTCAGGAATACATAGTTTTGACCATTTCAATGTTATATGTAGAGTCTGTCTGCAAAAATCTACTTTCTAACTATAAGTGCTCAAAAAGCATTAGTCTGAATCAATATTTAGTAGGAGTAACTTCCAGGGTGTTTATGTACAAATGCTGGTTACAGAAACTAAGAAAAGCTATGGAATTACCAACAAGTTTAACAAGGATAGGTGCCAGATCCTGCATTTGTGTTGGGACAGCCCTGGATGTGTGTACAGACTGGGGAAGGAGATGCTGGAAAGCAGAGCCACACAAGGGGCCCCGAGGGTCCTGGACTATGGGAAGCTGGATCTGAGCCAGCAGTGCCTTGGCAGCCAGGAGGGCCAACCCTGTCCTGGGGGGCATCAAGCCCAGCATCACCAGACAGGCAAGGGAGGGGATTGTCCCACTCTGCTCTGAGCTGGGGCAGCCTCACCTCCAGTGCTGGGGACAGTTTTGGGTGCCAGAATAT